CCACTGCTAGTGCTGGGCTGTTAACGCAGTCCTTAGGGGCCTGGCCTGATTGCAGCATTATGACCTTATTGTTGTGATCCCTCTTGTGCTTATGTCATGTTTTAACATACAGTACAAGAAATGGGCATTTAGGAGCTATTTCTCAGCAAGAAATCCTAAGGCAAAGCCATTTACCCATTATAACATGCCTTGCTGGGAAGCAGAGAAAATAGAATTCGCTCCTGAATTTTCGAATATATACTTAACGTTTTTCTTAATGACAAAATCAGCTCCCTGAAAATCAACCCAGGATATGGCTATCCGGGCTTGAGAGAAAGTGTTTGTTTCCTGCTGGTTGGTGTATAGTATGTACAGGGTAGGATGCAGAAAAGAAGGGAATATTTGAGGCAAACTTTTTTTTTTAATCTAGGCCTATGCTGATCACAGCACACTACATTTCTGAAGACTTGCTCATGGATCATGACCCACATGTTGAAAAATATTCATGAAAAGTACTCCTGGGATGGTTGGGGACAACTGTATCTCTTCCTTAACATTGAATGTATTTTAGAGTATATTACAAGGAATATTATGTGGTTGCTCTTTAATTAATCCCCTGGGGATACACCAAAACAATATTTGCAATCTAATACAAATTTCATCCAATTTCCTAGATAGGTTCCTGAGAAAGCTGAACAAGGCTTTCAAAAGTTAAATACATTATGGGACCGGCAGCTTCATATCTATTTATCTGTCACTACTTCCCCTCCTATTTGAGTGGCTAATTGACCACTAACTATAGTGATCAAATTTGCATTTTCCTTGTCAAATGTGCCACTCTGTGAATAGCTAAATTAACTTAGTCTTCCTGGAATATACCCAAATGTTAAGAATCGTCTAGGACCTTTTAAAACCATTTGGTCTGTTAGTTCTGTCTTAAGATAAAGCAGAATAAATACATCCCTGAAATCAAAGGAAAACTAATTGTAGTACCTCTTTGCATCTTTGAGTCATCAAAGTTTGACCATCTCAAGTATGTTCTAATGGGGTTCATTATTTTTTTTTGTTCTACATTTGAGAATTCCAAGATAATTTTACATTTGCATTGTCAATATCCAGTTTTCGAAATTTGACATGTCTATTTATTTTCAAGAATAATAACTTATTAGCCTCTCTTTTCAAGGCACAAAAGCTATACATGGCCACCAGAACAAGTCAAACAACACAGAAATATATCACGGAAGAGCTAACTCAGCCCCTTCTCCTCTTTTTCAAGCCTGTAATCCCAGCACTTTGGGAGGCCGAGGCGGGTAGATCACGAGGTCAAGAGATCGAGACCATCCTGGTCAACATGGTGAAACCCCGTCTCTACTAAAAATACAAAAAATTAGCTGGGCATGGTGGTGAGTGCCTGTAATCCCAGCTACTCAGGAGGCTGAGGCAGGAGAATTGCCTGAACCCAGGAGGTGGAGGTTGCAGTGAGCTGAGATCGCGCCATTGCACTCCAGCCTGGGTAACATGAGTGAAACTCCGTCTCAAAAAAAAGAAAAAAAAAAAAAATTTCTGTCTTCCTCCTTAACCAGCATTAACAATTTGGTGTTTATTCCTCAATACCAATCTAAGCTCATATAAAATATGCAAATGTTTATAAATGTGAACATTTTCGTAAAAATGAGATCAGACTATGTACATTCTCTTCTTACCATTAAAAAAAAAAAAAAATCAGCCAGGCATATTGGCTCACTCTTATAATCCCAGCACTTTGGGAGGACAAGGCAGGAGGATCGCCTGAGCCCAGGAGTTCAAGACCAGCCTGGACAACATAGGGAGACACTTGTCTCTACAAAAACTACATAACTCACACCTGTAGTCCCAGATGCTTGGGAGGTTGAGGCAGGATCTCTTGAGCCTGGGAAGTTGAAGCTGCAGTGAGCCATGATTGCGCTGTTGCACTCCAGCCTGGGTGACAGAGAAACACTCTGTCTCCAAAAAAAAAAAAAAAAAAAAAAAAAAAAGTTATTTAACTGTATGTTGTGGGGTTTTTCTCCAAGGTCTCCAGTAGCCCCTTCTTTTTCACAAGGTATGGATATGTTGATGTCTTTATTCACTCCCCTGTAGATGGGCATTAGCGTGTTTGTTTAGTTTTTGTCATTACAATGCTATGATAAATATCTTTGTAAATATATCTTAAAACTAGTAAATCATTAGAGATGATTTACTAGTGCTTGTTAGGAGCCAAACAATGCAGGTGATCCATTCCAGCAATGTAGGTATGATTCACTGTGACTCCAAGTGGGTTGGATTTTGTTAGCTGAGTCCCTTCAGCAAGGAGCCAGGAAGAAGACAGGTCAGGAACATGGATTCAGGCCTTTTTTATAGGATATTTCTCTGTCTACACACACCTACATTGGGCCTTTGCTCTCTCAGTGTCCTAAATCTCTCTTAACATTGGGTCTAGGACTTTTTAAAGCAGTTTTCTGACTTTTTTACTTCACCATGGTAGTGATATATCTCACTTTAGACACATTTCTGTAGTTCTCAAGCATGAGTTCCAATTCTTTTGGCCTTGGTTCATCTTGATCTACCCAGTGTTACCCTCCATGTTCATTTCCCCTTTGCATTGCTGTTGCAGTAATTTAGAAAGGTCTTGGAGTTGGTGATGCAGTCATCAGAGTGGTGTGGTGGGCTGTAAATCCCTGCAGTTGGAACTTTGCTGAGTTACACACATCAAGTGTATTCAGGGTTACGGTGCTGTTTTAGCTATTTTGGGTTTGAAATGCTAAATAAGATTTCGAGACATATGTTGTAGGTCACTTTGATTTCATTCATTCAGTTAACTACTAGTACATTCTACTAGCTACTAGGAATAGAATATACTGAGCAACAAAATGGAAATAAAGTTTGTCCTCAGGGAATTTATGTCTAGGTTAAAGAGAGACTCTGCAAAGAAAAATACAATTTGATAAATGGAATGCTCATGTTATTAGATGGAATTCAGTCATGCACATGATTACATTGATTGGGGGAGAATAGAAGTTTAGTGGTGCTGTGATCCAAAGCCTTATGGGATTTCAAAAAAAAAAAAATTCTTCACAGTGACCTTATGTTTATCTGGAAGAATAAACAAATAACTAAAATATTATTTAAAAAAAAACAAAGGGGGGAGGTATTATACTATGTGACATTAAACATTATAATACTGTCATTTAGAGTAACATAAAGAAGGTGAGTCTATAATTATTCAGTAGTACTAGGACAAATATTACATGAAAAGAACAAAGTTGATTTTAAATTCATGTACGCCATGAAATTCCAGATGAATAAAAGGTTTAAAAAATGACCACATAGAAGAAAACCACACTGAAGAAAATGTAGGTAGCTATCATATCTGAGTGGAGTGGAGGAGGTTTTTCTAAAAAAAAAAAAAAAAAAAGAGAATCTGTTAAGGAAAAGGTTTATGGAAGCAATGTAAAAATATGAAACATACAGATGTCATAAAATGCTCTATAAATTAAAAGACAAACAGCTCACTGGGAAAGAGTATTTGCAATATATTTGGTGAAAGGTTAATATCTGTGATATACGTCAAACACTGAACAATCAACATCCTGTCAAAACAGGCAAAGAACATAAACAGGCAGTTAAAAAACAAATTCATGTGTCCAGTAGATTTATGACAAAAAGTTTATTCTCAAATAAGAAAACAAAGACTAGTATTTTGGAATCAAATTGGCAGAAAAAATATATATAAATGATATATCTACAGTTGTTAGGAGTAAAGTGAAATAGATACAGATGGGAGAAATAGATATCGCAGTAGCTTTTGGTAGAAGGCAATTTCACATTCAAAAGCCTTGGCCAGATAATTCCCTTTCTAGGAATTTGTTCTAAGTTTCGTCATTGTAGCAATATACAAGGAAAATTGGTTACACATTCAATAATTGGTTGTTCGCTAAGTTATGGTACACACAGCACATAGGTAATTGTATTAAGACGGACAGATGGACATGGGTGGAATCTTTCTTGTCACCTGGTTTGTTCTGTGTTATGTCAATGTGTATAATAGATGAGGAAAGAACAACATTTTACATTTACCTCCCCACAGCCTTTTTAGTCAAACGAGGTTACTTAGAAGAAGAGATATGCATGGCAGAGTAGAGTTTTCAGCTATAAAGCTATAGGAAATGGCAACTTGAGGCTGACCAAGGATAGTGAGAAGGGAAGATGAGGCTTGTTCTGTATGCAAATGAATTGCTAAAGCAGCTGAATAGCCGTTCTAACCTCCAAAATTTTGCCTAGGCCGTTAAGTAACCTTAAAGAGGTGAGAGTTTGATGCCTGAGACCCTCAGACAGACAGAAACATTGCTGTTGCCTCTGAATTCTGTCTTAAGTGATCCAGTGAGACTTGATCAATATTAAGTCAGGTGTCTGGATTGTGTGAGCTGAATTATGTCTATTGGGTATGAACTCCCCATTGGTATGTGTCTCTTTTCTCTTCCAGTCCTAGAGTTAGAGAAAAAGGTCCTACCTGTTCTCATACAGAATCCTTCCCCTAAATAATGGTTATTTTTTTCCCCCAGTTCTCCCATAGTACCCGAAGTCAGTCAACATTTGGATAGCTTTCCATTTTACTTATTCTCTGTCAAAACATTACACTGATGGTTTGCTGAGAACCATGGGAGATGGATCATGAGGGCAGCAAGGGAGAGCCTTCTTTATGTAGGGGCTCATGTAATAGAGTCAGTTACTGATGAGTTCCAGGACTTGCTGGTGTGACAAGCAGATATCACTGAAGCTCTTTGGGGCCAGGCACAGTGGCTCATGGACATAATCTCAGCACTTAGGAGGTTGAGGTGGGTGGATTGCTTGAGACCAGGAGTTCCAAGACCAGCCTAGGCAGCATGGTGAAATCCTGTCTCTATTAAAAATACAAAAATGAGCCAGATGTAATAGTGCATGCCTGTAGTCCCAGCTACTTGGGAGGCTGAGGCACCAGAATCACTTGAACCCGGAAGGCAGAGGTTGCAGTGAGCCAAGTCGTGCCACTGTGCTCTAGCCTAGGTGACAGAATAACACTCTGTCTCAAAAATTAAAAAATAAATAAGAAATTTCCACCTTCTGCTTGTCTCTGTGCATTTTTGCCCTTGTTAGCTAATTGTCAGACTGAAGCTTAATACATTTTGGGTTAAAGATGCAAATTCAGTGGCACCTGAGTGATGAAATATCTCTATTTTCTGTGCCTCCTCCTTTAGTCTTTAGGTTCAAGAGAATGGCTGCCTGTCTGTTGGGAAATTATCTTGTACCGTGCTGCAGTAATGTTCTGCTAAACTTGACTCAAGTGTTTCCTTGTGGATGTAGGCAGTTGTGATCAGAAGTTTTGTGCGGAGGGCAGATACCTGAGTGAACTGCCAGGATATGGTCAAATGCCTTGGACAAACAGAAATGGTTCAGGAGAGCATCCAACATATTTGAAGCCAAAGCTTTGGGGATGCACATACCTGGTGCTTCCACAGAGTCTCAGTTCAGGATGCAGAACACTCAGTGTGGGAGCCAAACACCCACTCTTCAGCTTAAAGGTATTGCCAGCCATCTGGCAATATTTGGATCTGACTCTCAGATTTCAAGTCTTGTCCCTAGAGATAAGTATTCCTAAGGTCTCCCTTCTGGGAGCAAACCATGTGAGTTGCTTGCTTATGCTATAACTACTGACCCCATCACGAAGAGTCTATAACTTCTTGTCACATTTTCTAAACAGAGGCAAACATAATAAAGTATGTTAGAGATGAATTTTAAGGACACCAGTAAGGAGAGTTACATATAAGTCAGTAAATATCACCTTGAACTGTAACTTTTTTATAGTGCTTTTATAGTGCTAACAAATAACACTTATAGGAATGCCTACGGCCCCCAGTGTCCCTAGGAAGTGGGTAGGGTAAATATTAGCTTCCCCCAAGCAGATGGGGTATGTATGGGTGTGTATAGCAGAGGCTGGGACCTGTGGTACTTTAGTGACAGGCACAGACTCAAAAAGCAGCCAAGCTTCCCAGCATTCATGCAGTTGTGGTTTATCAGAAATTTTTAGAAATGTCCCTTCTTGCCTAAGAAGGTAGGAATGTGGTATGTGGTATATTGCCCAATTCTATAAGGGAGGGATGATTCTGCCATGGATTAGAAGTAAAGTCCAGTTAACACCCTATGGCTCCATCTGTCCTTGTTTAAAAGAAGTAGATGCTATAAAGAAGAAAAAAATTTAGATTAAGACACTACATCAATTACTTCTTTCTGTGAAGACCAGACTTGGCAATAACTTTGTGCCTAAAAATACTCATTTGTGCATCTTACTAAAAATCCCTAAGTATTCTGTATTGGAGTTTAGATGTGTGGGATATATCCATGTAATTCTATCATAGTACCTGTAGCTGAGGTATCATGTACTTGACATCCCCAGAAGAAAGCACTTTATTTAAGTATTGTGAAGTTGAGCAATGCATAAAAGCTGGAGTAGAATAAAAATGTTGTCATTTATGCCCATCTCCCAAACAGGGCACTTTAACTTTGCTGGCCAGTCTTTAAATTGCCTCTTGCTGCCTGAATAGCTACTATTGAAGAAATGAGGCAGTTTGTTTTCTAGACAGCCCTCTGATTGTTCTCTATAAACACTCACACAGAGTTTCTGGTTGCAGAGCTTTCTGTTCTTCTCCTGGGTCATCCTAAGCAGTTCAAAAGGTGACTGCGCTTGGGGAAGAGGCCAAGTCAATGCATTTTAAGAAACCTACCCTTGTGTGTCTCTCCAAGGCCAGAATGTAACCTTCATAGAGCTTCTGAATTTGTACATTAACCCCCTTGGCACCGCACCTGAGCAGTTTGACTGGGTCTTAATGAGAAAACACTTTTTAAAGAATAACCTCTACTTGTTTCTCAGGCCACACCTCATCTCCACCCAATTATCTAAACATCAGCATTCCTCCGTGTGCTTGGCCTTGCTGGTCCATGCTGGTCATATGGGCTGTGGGGTGGCATTACAGGAGACTGCAAGATTATGGCTTTGACACATTTGGGTGCAGGAAGGGTCCTGCAGAGGGATGTCTTTCAAAAAGAGTTTTTAAAAAACCTATAATGCTAATTTACCAGTTATCTTTATTTTCCTTTCTCCTTCTGGGTTTCTTGGTTTCCTTTAGAGTTAATGACTGTCTCCATGTATACAGCCTATCGATTCTATATCGTCTTTCCCCTGCTCTTTAGGTTCTTTTCCCCTTTTTCTCCTCCCATCTTACTCATAAGCAGCAAGAGCAATGCAAATCAGCGTTTCTTCTTTCTCTCTTCGTAGGACAGAGAGCAGGGAGTCTGGGACGGTGGGAGTTTCAAGATTCTTTAAGAAAGGCATTTAGGCTGGTCCAGGGTTAGGGATTAGGGAAGGGGAGGCACAGAGGGCTTGTTTAAAAGCTGTTTGCTTAGTCAGCACAATCTTTACATCCACCGATTGTGTCTGTTGGATGCCTACAAGAGAGTTGGTGGACATCGGGGGGGGGGCTGATGCCTGCCTAAGCTATTGCTTGCTACTGGTCAAGCCTGAATTTAGAGGGTCTTTGCTTTATAGACTTTAAGGGTAAAATACAATTCGCCTTGTGGACTGGTCTGTTGCCCCTGCCCCATTCTCTGCTGCCCACCTCAGATCTGTCCCCTTTGTTTTCCCCCAACCCTACCCATTAGGAGGGCCTAATTTAAAAACACACACATAGCAAAAAAGCACAGTTGCTGTGGCCTGCACCCACTATTCAAACTTCGAGATTCAGAATTCTGTAAACCACAAAGGTTTTGTGCCTGTGGTATGTTCTGGAATTTGAACTGACCGTAGAAAGAGTCTGCTTTGTATTATTCTTTCATAGCATAGATTCATCATTCTGTATACTCTAATAATGTATTTCTATGGAAATCATTTACCTTATGCAGCACAGCTAATCTTTTCTTAATCAAATTTTTAATAAAAAGTACGTGACAATCCTTCTCCATAAATACAATGGGGGAAAGAAGTGCAAGTATATTTTTTCAGAAGGTTTCAGAGAACTGAATCATGTAAAGCACTAGTCTGAATGGATATGAAGGTACTCTTAACATCTGGCATTTATCTGGAAAAGGACACATTTTCATCAAAATTTTAATATTCTACATGTAAGTTAAGAATTCTTTATGGCTCTCTGGTTGCCATGTTTCTGCAAGCATGTACAGTATCTATAAACCTCCAAATAGGCTTGTTGTGGCCTGCCCTTGGTTTAATATTGCACTACGTATATGAGAAAATTCCGCATAACTTTGTTGCTTCCTAAGGATACTCAAAGGCTGTGTATTTCCCTAGGAAATGATCTGCTATGTTTGCACTTTTTCTTCATGAACATAAAACTGTTTTTTCCCAAAACTGTGATGCCTGAAATGAGGTAGGTTTGATGTTAATGTTTAAAATCGGCTGGGCGCCGTGACTTATGCCTGTAGTCCCAGCACTTGGAGAGGCTGAGATGGGCGGATCACGAGGTCAGGAAATAGAGACCATCCTGGCTAACACAGTGAAACCCCATCTCTACTAAAAATACAAAAAATTGGCTGGGCGTGGTAGTGCACGCCTGTAGTCCCAGCTACTCAGGAGGCTGAGCCAGGAGAAACGCTTGAACCTGGGAGGCTGAGGTTGCAGTGAGCCAAGATTGCACTACTGCACTCCAGCCTGGGCAACAGAACAAGACCCTGTCTCAAAAAAAAATAAATGGTTATTGAAAGGGCAAGGTGGTTGTTGTAGGTCATGATTCTCTGCCCCAGAAAAAAATTGTTTTAAGATTCTTAAGAGTTTAAATCTGTTGAAGTTAAAACTTAAAGTGGTGATTCTCTTTCCACTTTTCACTCTAGCCTGTTATTTTGGGGATGAGGAAGTTCTTCCTTTATGTATCAATCACTTTAAATAAATATCCAGTTCTGTTTAAGTCATTTTTCTGGGTAGCCCTCAGCCCTGCAGGTGTGTAAATGCCATAGCTCTCAGCCCAAAGCACATCAGGGACTGAACTGCACAAATTTCATACTTCTGTAAATGTTGCTCTGAGTCACAATTGTCAGAATTTGAGAAAATACAATAAAAAGCTAGCTTTGAGGTTCCTGTTCTTCCTTTGGAATAACCACTGTTTTTCTTTGCCACATGAAAAGAAATGCCCTCCGTAATTGTTGCCTGTGTGTTAACTCACCTTTTTTGCCCCAGTGCATCTATTGGTGTAAAATGAGAGAATCATCAGACTGGAATGAATCTCAAGAGGCTGCCGACCAAACTCCAAGGCAGGGCTGCACCCACATTATCCCAGAAAGATGAGACTCACCCCTGTCTGGAAAGGTTTTCCGGGAGAGTAATTCCACAACCATCACTGTACCTTGTAAGACATAACAAGCTTCACTGTCAGGAAAGACTTTTAGAGCAAGCCTGAATCCCTCATGCTGAAATGTAAACCCATTATCCTTTGCTGCATACCCTGGTGAGTCTCTGCAGTCTAAGAGTTCATCATATGCTTGGCAGCTAGTGCTAATTTGCCTTCATCCCCCTCAACTCTGAGCTAAATCATCCTATTTCAAATTTGTGATATTCTTCTGAGAGCCCAAAAGTAACCTTTTTTTCTTTTTCTTTTCTTTTTTTTTTTTTTTAAATAAATGATGCCCTGTGTCGTGGGTAATGGGAATGTTACATGTTACATGTTCGGATCTTATAGTCCTGTGTAACCATCTCAGAGTGATGTTTGCATTTAAACCGTGTTATTACCCACGCTGTTCCATGATGAGCATTTACAGAATTTTGACCTCACAGGGTAACTCATGTGGGGTTCTGAGGAAACGCCCTCTCAATAACAGGCAAAAGCTTGCTCAACATTTTTTCCACCGCTGTACTTGGTCCCGTGCCTAATGATGGTCAGTGTAAACTTGTTTAGCAGTGAGGCTTAGCTTTAAAAGTTTGGGTAAATTTTAGTTTTTGTACTGTTAAAGTGACAGCATTTCTAGTCACTGCCAGACTTAGACTTTCCTTTGATATTTTTATCTAGGTTGGAAATGTGTCATTCCTAAACAGCCTAGGAGTCTTTCATAGTTTCTTTGCTCACTGCCTTCTGCTTTCAGGAAACAAAATAAGGCAGCTTTAGGGAATTTTTCTGTTTGCCTTCTAGTGCTATGCCTACAAGGAGGTGGGGGAATGGTAGACATGACAAGAAAAACAAGGATTAGATGTCACTTCTTTTGTTGTGGCATGTTTGAAGTAATGATTAGGCTGGGCTTCATGAGCTTGGGAAAATATGCAGCCCTCACTCCTGCCCCCCCCACCTCCTTAATAAGCACAAGAGAAATTTAGTTTGCAAATGAATGTATGTATGTGATGGGGGCAGAAAGCAATGTCATTCCCAAAAATGTGTGATGATGTGATGAAAGAAGCCTTACTTCTAGGAAGCAGTGTGCTCTTTGTGATTACCCAAAAGCTCCCTACCTCCTTCAGCAACCAAGCTGTTTCTATTACCATTAGGTCTGGAACGTAATATGGACTTATTGGGTGGTTACAGGTTGGAAGACCATGCCATTGGGTTGGGGGTGCCTACCACGTAGAGAAAGTCAGAAACAACCAATAAACGTAAATCCCCTAAGGAACTTTTCTTTTATCAACCCATCCCTGTGCCCTCCTCTTTATTCTTCCCTGCTTTCTCTTTGAGGGTGTCACAGAGTCCCGGGAATGGCAGAAGGGTGGAGAGTGCTGATTTGTAGGAGACCTTGCATTGTTCTTAGCTATCCCATCTGCAGTCAGTAATGCCACTACCCCTGACATACTTTATTAATTTCAGAATTCACTCATGAAATGAAGGGGGCAGAAAAGGAATAAGTCAGTTTGTAAGGGAGAGAACTGGCAAGACAATATGTGATAAAATGTTGGTGTTTCTTGTAGGTAGGGAGAGAAACAGGGAAGCTTTTTATATTAAGATAATGCTGAGCTGTTACATACCTGTCCGAATTACTAGTATGCTGTGGTTTCTAGAGACAAAGTGGGAGGACAGGCTGCTTTTGAGGGAGAAGCAGCTCCTCACAGGAAAAGAGCTGGAATGCTGTCAAGCTAGACTCAAACCACCGGGTTTCATTCTGGTCTGTGGTTGACATGCATTGTGTTGGAGCTTTTATCTGCAATTCTGACATCTTTGATTTGGCAAGGGATTGCAAAACACTCACAGGCCCTGGCCAGGCTAGTGCTGGCAGATGGGGTGGGGTGCAAGAGGTGCACCAGTTTTGGTAGATGCATGGCTTACTTGCAGCAGCAAGGTCTTTTTGGGTAGAACAGTGCCTTTTTGACTACAGAGTTCAGGCTGCCCTTTACCTGTACAGGGGAGCTTCTTCCCTCTGGTGCTGGGCACTGTCAAAGCAAGTGTGGGGATCCCACTGAAACTTCCTCTCATACCAGTGGCCTTTCCAATTTGAGCAGCACTGCTAGAAACCATCTGGCGCTGAGCACCATCCAAGTCTGCAGTCTTGACTCCTCAGGCTCTCTGCCTTAGCCCACGCCAGATATGTGATCTCAAAATGTGTGACTCTGGATACCCATCTTAAATGTGACAGGTCAGCTTGGAAGTTTGTGGTTTCAAGTACTAGAAAACTGACTGTGCCTCAGTTTCCTTATCTGTGAAATGAGGTCATTGTAGCACCTATCTCGGTTTACTGTGAGAATTTTATGAAAACTCTTGTAAACTGATTGGCACATAGGAAATGTGCTAGGCAGAATTCATATAGAGTGTTGTGCTTGGTCCTGGCTACCATTTACCAAAAGGAAAATCGACATGCTAGGGGCCCCTGGATGATCAAGGATTGTTCTCGAGGTTTGATGATTTAGAAATGATGGTATTGATAGAATGAATTATTTGGAGAGCTTGGAGTATAGAAGAGAGTTAATTTTATCCTGCTTATGGAACTAGACCAATGGGACAAGTTACAAAGAGGTGATTTCAGAGTTGCTGTGTAAGGTAACATTTTCAAATGCCAGTAGCTATCCAACAGTGAACAGGCTTGGCTATCTGAGGAGTAGTCAGCTTTTTATCACATAGACATAGTGACTACCTGCAGGTAACACTGTAGATAGGGTTCTGGCACTGGCTGGACTATTGGGTAAGAGGACAGTTAATTATCTTTCCAACTCCTAGATTTGAAAAATTCTTGGTTTATCTCTCTGAATACACTGGGAGCTTGTTGAGAGCAAGGACTACCTAATTATTTGTATTCTTCATAAGACTTTGGAAATTGGCCCAAGAAAACACTTAAAAATTATATAATTCTAATGTATGTTTATTACAGAAAAAATACAATAAACCTAAGAAAGAAAATCATCTGTAATCTCACTACAAAGAGATAACCTGGGGATGCCGTTCATATTTTGGTACACATATTTCTGGGCTTCTTTCTTGTTAGATATTGTGGCCAAAAATAGTACTATTAAAAATTGTTTTTGCTTAAACTATTTTAAGTGTAGCTACACGTTCAAAAATGTCTGACAGATATTTGCAGGTGATACCATCTCATGGTGGTGGAAAGAGGTAAGGATAATGTTTCTTTATCTGTATTATCTAATTTGCTAACTTTACCCCTTCAACAAATACTGTATGAAATTCTACCATGTGCCAGCCACAGTTCATCTTGTTCATGAGCCATTTCCCCAGCCTCTTGACATCCCTGCCTTCTTGGAACTCATAATGTTATGGGGCCAGTGAGTCAGTGAAAAAAAATGTTACAATATGATGTCAGGTCATAGTAAGGGTTATGAAAAAGAGGAGGAGGGAGATTGAGAGTGGATGGGGGGGAATGAATGGTCTGTGGGGGACAATTGGAAACCAGCGGGAAAGAATTTAGGAAATAAGTCATACATGTGGGAAATAATGATTGCCAAATTAATTATATGTTTCTCTATTCTGTTGACAACTTAGTATTCTATGCCTGTGACACAATTTATTCAAAAACTTTTTTAATCATTTTCTATCATGAATAGATTATCTTTGCATATGTCCTTGCTTAAAATAACTTAATTGGTCCTCTCTTATGTACTATTGAGATGCATTTTTATGGAAATTGATTTTGGGGTCACTATGTATGTCCCACTTGGTTCTCTACTGTCTCTTCCCTGAATGATAGGAGGACCCAGGAGGTGGATGGTGCAGAGTGGGCCTGAGGCTACTCCAGTTTCCAGGCTTTTTAGGATGAATGTGTTTGCCTGCTTACCTGCTGGCCCAGCCTAGGTGCAGGGAGCAGCTGATTCAATTACACATGTTGAAAGGCAGAGTCTAGATTACTATGATTAATATGATCTAGGCTCCAATGTCGTGAATTGTTCTGATTGCTTAATCAGGACTTGTGAAAATGAGATAGGATAGTAATGTACCACAGTTTTCAAAGCCCAATTTTATTTTGACACTTTTCAGCAGGCAGATGGGGTGGCATATGATGATTGTGGTCAGTAAGGTGGCAGTGGATCGGGGCACCGTGGTTGTAGCTTGTAATCCCAGCACTTTGGGAGGCTGAGGTGGGAGAGTCGCCCAGGAGTTCGAGAGCAGCCTGGGCAACATGGTGTTTTGTTCCTATCTCTACAAGAATAAAATCAGTTGGATGTGGTGTTGCAGGACTGTGATCCCAGCTACTCGAGAGGCCGAGGTGGGAAGATTACCTGAGCCTGGGAGGTCGAGGCTGCAGTGAGTTGTGTTCTTGCCACTGCATTCTAGCCTGGGTGACAGAGTGAGACCCTGCCTCGGGGAAAAAAAAAAAAAAAGATTGCAGTTATCACTGTGGCTAACACTCTGCCAGCTGACGTTGTGGTTAAGTGATTTGCCTGCAGTATTTCATCTAACCTTCTCAACTCAGAATGAGTGGGTATTGTTCCCATTTTAAAGATGAGTAGACTGCGGCTTAGAAAAGTTAAATGAGTTACCCAAGGCTGAACTAATACTCAAGTCCAGGGTATTTTGGTTTTGCTTTGTGACAAAGCCTAGGTCCTTAACCACTAAACTGTTTTTCCCTGTTGTTTTCTTTCTGTCGAGTCTCTTTCCTATTTTCTTGCTTTCCTGGGAACAATGTGATCTGGGTTAGGACTACTGTTGGCTGGGTTAGAGTGCTTTGGAAAGGAGAGAAGATTCAGACCTAAAAGCTTTTCCTTCTTTCTATCAAACACGCTGTTCTCTGAAGCAGTCAGCGGGGCACATCAGAGAGGGAACACTATGCAGATTTGAAATGTGTCTCCTCTCTCTCTCCTGGTTCCTTGGATTAGATGTACCAGCAAGCGGTAAATGGCCCATCCGTCAGCAGCCCTGTGGTGAGGCAAGACAAGTCAGGGCCTGCCTGGGCCTTCCCTGAAACGGGGCATGCCGTGGCATCA